TTTTTTTTTAAGTATTCCCCAAACTTGAAAATAAATAAATAAATATTCATAGCTCAGTTTTGCTTGAATTTATGTATCTTATGTTAGATAAAATAACAAAGTTAAGATATATATATATATATATATATATTATACAAATAGTTCTCTTATAAGAGAACAAACTTATCCATAAAAATAATATTTGTACCAGAATAGAAATTTTAAGTAGAAGATTTAACTCAGTAAGATAAGAGAAGAAGCTTACGAGTATTCGAGAAAAATATTTTTAAATATAAAAGTTGATAGGACGAAAATAAAATAAAATAGCTCTTGGATAAGATTACACTCTAATTTTTTAAGTATACCCCAAACATTAGAAATAAATAAATAAATATTGATAAATTAGTTCTACTCGAATTTATGCATCTTATGTTAAGATAAGATAACACAGTTAAGATAAGAGAACAAACTTATCCAAGAAAAATAATATTTGTACCAAAAATTATTCTAATTTTTGAGTAAAATGATATTTTATTTTAATTTCATAAAAAATCAATCGATCATCAGACAACTGACTGCATATTATATATCAGGGTGGTCCTTAATATGGACATTTTCGAATTGCTTTGCTCCCAAGGGCCTAAATGATTCCAAATTGATAAAAAAAACATGCTCTAAAAAATTTAGCTTTAAATATTGTCTTTCAGATAGACCGCAATTCAATTAAAAGTTTCAGATATTTTTATTATCAAATGCCATTAAGTAAATACTTGCGCCATCTGTGATAGCAGACATTAATTTTGATGCCATGATGAAAAAATATTTCATTAAACAGTCCACATGGATTTAATTAGAGGTTAAGTGTTTATAAATATTTTTAAGTGAAGTTTACAAGTGCTATCACAGATGGCGCAAGAATTTACTTAGTGACATATGTTATTAATAAATATAAGAAACTGTTAATTAAATTGCGCACTATCTAAATGTTAATATTAAGAGCTAAAACTTTTAGAGAATTGTTTTTTATCAATTTAGAACCTTTTGAGCCCTTGGGAGCAAGGAAATTCTAAAAAGTCCATATTAAGGACTACCCTAATATACATACATATATAGATATATCCTAGACATATAGATATAAGGTACTTTACTCCTTAAGCCTAAAATTAATAAATTAAATAACTTTCATATTATAAATAAAATTATCAACAATTATAATTATAAAAGCCATTAGACTAAAATAATAAAAAAATCGTCTTATAATAAAACAATCACATTATAGAACTATAAATATATATATATATATATATATATATATAAATATATATATACTTAAAATAAATGTATAAAACAACTAGACAGTTTCAAAAAAATTGAAACTACAAAAATTTGTTAAGTAAAGCTTCAACGTTAATAAAATATTATTAATTTAAGACAAATTTTATAAAATACATATATATATAAAAACGTAACGTAAACAATTTTTATATAAACAATATACTAAAGTCTATTTTTTTTAAATTTTTGCAAATAAATAAACAATTTAGCAAAATTTCTCCTAACTAACCAAAAGCATTTGTGCAGAACATCGAGAGAGCCAAATTTTGGATTTTAGGTATCATCGAATATATATATATATATATATATATATATATATATATATATATAAATATTCCTTGATACCTAAAATATTTTAACGAGTGAAAACAAACTTGAAATCACACTTGTAGAAAAAAATGATTAAAATATTAGATTATTATTCCACATCTAATTCACGATTTTAAAATATGATGTAGTTTAAGAAAGGAAAAAAATAGATATCAAAATATATTTTTGATGATGTATATTTATATTTATAATAAAGCATAAAGTTATCCACGAATTTAGGATTTTGCAAAAGTCAGACTGTATGTTGGCTGAATATTAGATTTTTCCATGAGTCACTACCTAAAACAGACTCTGATATCATATTATTCTGATATTATAATTTTATTAATAAATTTTTATATTGAAGAAAAGTCTTAAAGAAGGCTCTGTAAAATTTCAACTAAATCGGTTTAGTAGAAGTCGAGAAATCGTGGGTATCTTAAAAAAAACATTTCGAAGAAAACGCCCATGAAGATTCGCAGATGAGTATTATCTTCTGGGATATAAGTTTTATCTTCAAAAATAATTTGAATTTTGTAAAATCCTTTTGCACACATATTTTTGAATAATTAAACTTGAATCGTAAAGAAAAATAAAATTGATTTCTTACAATTTTTAGACTAGAATGCTCCCAAAATATTATAATTTCAAGGAAAACGCCTATAAAGTTTCGTAGAGTAGTATTATCGTGGTCAAATAGTTTTATCTCCAAAAAATAATTGAAGTTTTGTAAAATACTCTGGTACACATATTTTTGAATAAATAAACTTAAATATTAAAAATAAATAAAATGGATTTCTTATCATTTTTAGACTAAAATGTCCCTTTAAAGAAAGAGTAGAAAAATATTTTAGTCTGGCACTAAAGTGCCAGTATATAAGTATTGATTGCAGTAAAACTCTTCAGATAATAATTATCTTAGAAGAATTTTAACTATTCTGTTTTTAGGAAATTTTATCTAGTCTCTACACGCCTAAGACAATTTTTGTCTATGTTAATTCTGAAAATAGTTATTTCCAAAAAATCAAAAAAATGTACCAAGATGTGTGAAATATTTCAGTATTGCTCTTAAGTATTAAGTAGAACTCTTTTTAAATTATTTCAGAAAAATTTCAAATATTTTGTTTAATAGTTAAGTTTATCTAGTTTCTCCTAGCCAAAGACAAATATTGTCTATGTCAATCCTTATAAAAAATTACTTCCAAAAAAGTAAAAAAAATGTACCGTCCTGATTCCATATCTGATTCACACCAAGATTATTTTAGAATTCCTTTTAAGTATTTAGTAGCACTTTTTGAAATAATCTTATAAGAGTTGAATTAGTTCATTGTATACAAAATTTTATCTAGTTTCTACAAGCTGAAGACAAAATCTTCCATCTCAATCCTGGAAAAAGTTATATCCACGAAACAAAAAATGTACCATCTTGATTCAAACCAAGAAGTAAAACATTTTAGTATTGATCTACTGATATATTTAGTAAAACTCTTTTAAATTACTTTAGAAGAAATCTAATTAATCTAGTTCATAGAAAATTTCATCTAGTTTCTACCAGCCAAAGACAAAAATCTTTCATCTCAATCCTAAAAAAAGTACATCAAAAAAACAAAAAAAATGCACCATCCTGATTCAAACCAAGACGTAAAAATTTCAGTATTGCTCTTAAGAATTTAGTAGCACTCTTTTTAATTATCTTAGGGCAATTCTAACTATTCCAGTTTTTTGAAAATTTTATCTAGTTTTACTAGCCGAAGACAAAAATCTTTTATTTCAATCCAGAAAAAAGTTACATCCAAAAAACTGTACCAATCCAAAACTGTACATCCAAAAAAATGTACCATTCTTATTCCATATTTGATTCAAGCCAAGAGGTGAAGCATCTTAGGATTGCTTTTAAGTATTTAGTAAAACTCTTTTAAATCATCTTAAACGATTTTGAATTATTCTGTTTTCTAGATAATTTCATTTCACTAACTAAAGACAAAAAGTTTCTATTTCAATCGTAAAAGAAGTTACATCCAAAAAACCAAAAACTATAAAAATTTACCAGGCGTGAAACATTCAGTATCGCTCTTAAGTATTCAGTAGAACTCTTTTAAATAATATTAAAAACATGTCAAGTATTCTATTTTATAGAAAATTTTATTTAGTTTCTACAAGCCAAAGACAAAAAACTTCTATTTTAATCCTGAAAAAAGTTACATCCAAAATACCAAAAAATCCGAATCTTATTTAAACTAAAAGACGTGAAATGTTTCAGTATTGCTCTTAAGTTATATAATTTGAGTACAACTCTTTTAAATTATCTTAAAAAAATTCAATTATTCTGTTTCATAGATATTTTATCTAGTTTCTATATGCCAAAGACAAAAAGTACAATTTTAATCAAATAAAATAGTACATAAAAAAAAAAAAACAAAAAATGTACCCTCCTTATTTAAATAGAATGCACAAAATCCTACTTATACCAAATTAAATCCAAACACTTCAGTACTGCTCTCTAAAATATTTAATAGAACTTTACAAAAGTATCTTAAAAAAATTTAAGCAACTCTGTTTTAAGGAATATTTTATCTAGTTTTTACACGCCGAAGACAAATTTTATCTATCTCAATCCCCAAAAAATTTACATCAATAAAACCAAAAAAATTCACCATATTAATTAAAACAATTGAGTGAAAGATTTCAGTATTGATCTACTGAAGTATATAGTAGAACTCTTCTAATATATCTTATCCAAATTTCAATTATACCGTTTCATAGAGAATTTTATCTAGTTTCTACCAGCCAAAGACAATATTTGTCTATCTCAATCCTAAAAAAAGTTGCATCTACAAAACCGAAAAAAACGCACCATCTCGACCAAACAAAATCATGCACATGCCGAATTAAAACCGTATCTTAGAAATGAACCATTGCTTCATTTTATTTTTCTCCAAGTGTGATCTAACCAGTTCGTTTTTTTTTGTTGACTACTAAACTCTCACCATCACGAAAGATAAAAACTAATCGAATAAACAATTATCAATAACAACGACAACAATGATAAATATGACGAATATCTGACGAATTTTATAATCCTTCCGGTTTTGGTAAATTCGTGTCGTAAGCTCGTATCACCTCCGCCTGGGTGATGGCGCCACCTTCCTCTTGGGAGAACGCAAAGCCATCTGGGGAATGATAAGAGATTTAGTGGTAATAGATATATGATGTAGGGCTACGAATGTCCAGTGGTCTGGGGAGAAGAAAGTCTAAGGTTGATTGGGGTATAGTATGAGCATCAATTGCTATGGAAAATATGTATCATGGTATCCAGATCTCTGATCAATACAGATCATTTTTTTATCACTAATAACTTTCATAATCAGAATTACTAAGGTTTGATGTCAGTACTATCAGATTTTCATTCAATTTTGCTGATTGAAGCATTGTATGAGTATTAATAGTTATGGAAAATATGTATCATAGTGTCCATATCTCTGATCAATATAGATCAATTTTTTTATCACCATTAAGTTTCATAATGTCAACATTTCCAATCTGGTATTTTTTAAGTATCATCCTGCGATTTATAGCTATATATTTTTTTCCTTGGTACTATATATACTTGTCCATATCTCTGATCGTTACAGAGCTCTATATATATATTTCTCAACCAGATTTATCAACAAATTTATTGATCAGAAAATATAAGAAAATACTTCAATACTTGGTCAAGGTGGGTAACTGGTGAAGTTGTTTTTCTTTATATTAGTTAAGAGTAGAGTCCTTTTCACTTGGTTGAGCAAATTTCCAGTTCATTAAATTTCTTAATTAAATTTTCAGTTTGCTCGTCAGTAGAGTCTATTTTGCTATCTCAAAGAAGTTTTTTCTTACTAAACAAAGTTCTTTATTTGTAAAATTTTCTGGTTGCTCGTCAGTAGAGTTCTTTTTACCTTGAACAAATTTATTGTTGCTCGTCAGTTGAGTCCTTTCCTCATTATTTAAGCAAATTTCAGTTTGATCGTGAGTAGTGTCTTTTTTATATATTTATTCTTTTGTATTATTTTCATACTAAGCACACTTTCAATTTGTTCGTCAATAGAGTCCTTTTTTATTCCGTATTTAATTATTTAGTCACTTTGCTCATCAGTAGAGTCCTTTTGATATTATTCATTATGTTATACGTTTTTTATATTTATACTAAAAAGACTTCCCATTTTTTCTTTAGTAGAGTTCTTTTTTCAAGAAAATAAGTTTGTTTCAGCTTACTTCAACAAATTTTCAGTTTCCTCGTCAGTAGAGTCATTTTCCTACAATTTGCTCGTCAGTAGAGTCTTATATTACTTAAATAGAGGCTAAAATTACTCCTTAGTAGAGTTCTCAAAAAAAAAAAAAAACGGTTTTGAGTGTCAGTAGAGCCCTTTTTATTTTACTTGAGCAAATTTTCATGTTGCCCGTCAGTAGAGTCCTTTGTCCTTTTTTGTTTTTGTCAAATATTCAGATTGCTCGTCAGTAGAGTCCTTTTTATTTTACTTGAGCAAATTTTCAAATTGCTCGTCAGTAGAGTTCTTTTATTTTACTTCAGAAAATTTTCATTGTCCCCGTCAGTAGAGTCCTTTTCTTCAATTTGCAGTAGAGTCTTATATTATTTGAATAAAGGCTAAATTTGCTCGTCAGTAGAGTTCTTTTACTTTTACTGAAATTAGTTGTCAGTTTGTTCGTTAGTAGAGTCTCTTTTGCATTCATACTCGAAACAAAAATTCAGTTTGCTCGTCAGTAGAATTTCTGCTTTCATTTACAGCTAGGAACGTTATTACACTTGGTCTTCTACAATGTTCTTCAAGAAACTTCTAATTTTCTCAAAATAGTATAAACCATGTCCTAATTTGCATTCGAGAAAAGTTTCAGTTTGCTTGTCAGTAGAATCCTTTTTATCTTAAGCAAATTTTCAATGTGCTTGTCAGTAGAGTCCTTTTTTCACTTAATATAAGTAAATTTCAGTTGCTAGTCAGTCGAATCCTTTTTATCTTACTTCAACAATTTTTTAGTTTGCTCGTCAGTAGTAGAGTCCTTTTCCTCTCTTATTTTTGTCTATTTATCTTTCTTAATTAAATTTTAAGATCGCTCATCAGTAGAGTCCTTTTTATCTTACTTGAGAAAATTTTCAGTTTGCTCGTCAGTAGAGTTTTTTCCGTATTATTTAAGCAAATATTCAATTTGCTCATCAGTGAAGTCCTTTCTATATCATCTAAACAAATTTTCAGTTTCCCCGTCAGTAGAATCTTTTTTAATTCCTTAATTTTTCAGTCAGTTCAGTCCTATCTTATTTAAATAAAGGCTGAACTAACTCGTCAGTAGAGTTCTTTCATTTCACTGAAATTAGTAGTCAGTTTGTGTGTTAGTAGTGTCCTCTTGTACCCGTACTCAAAAAAAATTCAGTTTGCTCGTCAATAGAGTAAAAGAACTCTACATTTTCTTTATTCATCTAAAAACTTCATTCCACCATTTGGTCTTCTACATTGTTCTTCAAGAACCTTCAAATTTTCTCAAAATGTACAAATCATGTCTCTGATCCAGGAGAATACATATGCAACATTTGAATTTTCCAAATAGTGCGAACCATGTCTCTGATCCATAATACTCCGATCTCCGATCTCAAACATTTTTCCTTGTTTTGTTTATATCTAAAATACGTCTGATCGTACGAAATAGATGGACATTTTCATAGTTTCACTACAAAGGAACAAGCATAAGATAGCGTTGTCATGGCAACGTCTATGTTACGGCAGAATTGCCTCATAACTTGTGGACTTCTTTTACTTTCACTAAAATTAGTTATCACTTTATTCGATAGTAGAGTCCTACGCCCAAAAAACATCAAGTCAGTAGGGTCGTATTTATATTAGTTAAGAAAACTTTTCGTTTGATCGTCTTCTTCACTTATATAAGTAAATTTGTCTGTCACAAGAATCTCATTTTTTTAATCTTATTTAAGCTAATTTTCAATATGCTTGTCTTTTTTCTTTGACCAACTGGCATTTATCTCCGAAGCTCCAAAAATAGTACAAACCACGTCTTTGATCCATACAAACATGTATTCACCAACTTCTTCTTCCATAGACCACTGGACCTCCACATTCAAATACACCTACTCTAAATCCTTTATTGTCAGTCAGTCAGTCCTTAACCCCAAACCCTTTATTTTACCAATTACAATTATTTTAATTTCAATTTCAAATTTAATACTCACGGGCCAACTCAACGTCCGTATTGTTTACCCTAGGGCCGCTCCTTTTGCTGAACAACGTTCGGACGTTCGACAAAAGTCGGGCGCGTTCGGTCATCCTAATTATTCGACGAAAAAGGAAAAAAACGAAAAACTCAATTACACTACGCGATAAGAAGCAAATTTTAAAAATAAATGGGTTAACGAAATCACAAATTGCGTGCTTGATGATAAATGGTAAATGATACATTGCAGATGTGAAAAAATCCAAACCATGGTGATGGTAAATGATAAAATGGTAAATTGCAAAAGGTAACTGGTAAATGATGTTTTTTTAATACCATGCATGTTGATGAAGAGTTCTGATGAATTTTTGGCACATTGCAGGCTAAAGAATGATGTTTTGTCATCATGATGCTGGTACTTTTGGTTTTTGCTAGATGTCAAGAAACTGCAAAACCAACATTAGAGTTTCACATAAGGGTCATTCTTTTACAAATCGTACGGCTTTTGGACAAAAAATATATGACATTATAGAATTGTCTGAAAATTTGTTTACAGATACTCTTCATAAAATCATTTGACACGTATTTCAGGATTTTGCTTTAAAAATTTTTTAAAGAAAATATTTACGATTGAAATTTGGATAATTTGCTCAATTTTGATGGTCTTCCTCTGCATTAATCTTAATATCTCCAGTTGTGGTGAAACAGATCAGTATGATTGTAATTTAATATCTTTGGATCTAACTGCGCCTCCAATATCATATAAAGAGATTTTGTAGTTGAGAGTAAAAGAAAAATATGTGTTTATTTCAATCGATTCGAGTTGGGAAAGGGTATGTAAATCATATGTAATAATAGACTGCTTTTGTTTGTTAAAAATTGGAAAAACAATTATTTTTGTCAATTAACTGAAAGTTGAATTCAAAATGAGTACAATAAAAAAAAAAATACTGATCTTATTATTATTATTATTATTATCTGTAAACAAATTTTCACACAATTCTAAAAGTCAAGGTTAATTGGTGTTCGGTTTGTAAAAGATGACCCATAAGAAAGTTTCGGTCATCAGTTAATATTGCAGTTTCTAGACATCCAGAAATTTGGTGACAAAATTCAATTTTGACCAACATTATCCAAAGGATCAACTTTATCATATTTTTAGAATGCACCAAAGTAGATCAGTAGATTTTACACCTTTACTACTATTTTATTTAAAATGATGATGATGTTAGGCAGCAACATAAAAACATACAACACTCATGCTAAAATCCAAAAAAAACATCTAAAAATACAAAAAACAACGTCCTGACAAGATTTTCGAACTGATAAAGGTATTTTGGTCACTTGACACCAGTGACCATTTAATATATCAATAGGCAGATTGGCCAATAAGATTATGTTATGTCTTTGCTCGTCAGTACCGTCCAAATGGTAAATGTAAAAAAACTATTATAGTTGGTCCCATTTTAAATAATCTTACTACTTGTTTAAATCATAAAAATATTATAAATATTAACATAACCTCGTTATAACGCGCATAAGTTGTTTTTAAAATTTTATTTATAGATAATGTGATCGTAAAATTCGCCAGTAGAATTTGTTTCAAATTTATATAAGTAAATTTCAGTTTGCTCGTCAGTAGAGTCATTTTTTCTCCCACACGTGAAGTGAGTAAGAGTCACTTTGCTCGTCAGTAGAGTCTTTTTTACATTAAGAAAGTTTTCAGTAGAGTCCTTCCATATTAGTTAAGCAAATTTCCAATTGCTCATCAGTCTTTCTTATTTCGCCCGCGCAGTAAGGTCCTTTTCATATTAAACAAGTTTTCAGCTTGCGTGTCAGTAAAGTCCTTTTTATATTACTCAAACAAAGTTCAAGAGTCTTTACTAATTTTACTCAAGCAATTTTTCAATTTACTCGTCAGTAGAGTCCTTTAAGCAAATTTCAGGTTTGCTCGTCAGTAGAGTTCATTTTTCTCTTGCTAAAATTTCCGTCTGCTCGTCTGTAAAATCCTTTTTATTTTATTAAAGTAAATTTTCAGTTTGCTCGTCAGTAGAGTCCTTCTTATTTTACTCAAACAAACATTTGCTCGTCAGTAGAGTCCTTTTAATCTTACTTGAGTAAATTTTCAGTTTGCTCGTTTCGTAGAGTCTTTTTTATATTAAACAAATTTTAAATTTGCACGTTAGTAGAGTCCTATTTATATGAGTCCTTTTCTGTCTTTATTCCAATTTGCTTGTCAGTAGAGTACCTTTTTATTTACTATCTTCTATTTCAGTTTGCTTGCTAGTGGAGTTCTTCTCTTCTTATGTAAAAAAAATTTTAATTCGTTGTCAGTAGAGTCCTTTTCTCCCACATTTTCCACGTTATCAGTTGCTCGTCAGTAAAGTCCTTTTTCATTTTATTAAGCAAATTTTCAGTTTGCTCGTCAGTAGAGTCCTTTTACATTTTATTCAAGCAAATTTTCAATCCTTTTTATAATAATTGAGCAAATATTTCAGTTTGCTCGACAGTAGAGTTTTCTCGATTTTAGTAGTAGTGTTCTTTATTTTTTTTACTCAAGTAAATTTTAGGTTTGCTTGTTAAAGTAGTGTGCTTGTAGTAGAGTTTTTTAGTCTCTTATTTCATCAAGTTGTCAGTTTGCTCGCTAGTAGAGTCATATTTTTTTTATTTAATCAAATCTGCTCGTCAGTAGAATTCATTTTTGTCTAGTTTAAGTAAATTATCAGTTTACTTGTAGGTAGAGACCTTTTGTGTCACTTCAAAAAAAAAAAACAGTTTGCTCGTCAGTAGAGTTCCTTTTTTTCTTACTCATCTTGCTCGTAGTAGCAAAAAATTGTAAAAGTAGATTGTGGAAAGACCAACTAAAAACAAAAAAAAAATTGTGCTCTCTCATCATGTACCTGCCTTTGTCCACCGGTAAAAATAACAATAATGATAATAAATACTAAGAATAATAATAATAATAATACAAATTTCAAATCGCGTTATAACGAGGTTATGCAACTTTTTCTACTTTCTCATACTTACATCTGGATAAAGCACCCAAAGCAACCATTTGGCGTCTATTTAAACAAAACATGAAAGTAGTTTAAGATTTTGGAAACTAGATTAGCTAATTTTGGTGCTGAGATAAATACTCTATAGTGCTCGGTAGCTAGAACTATAGCTAACTAATAAATCTTACTTAAGGTAAGATTGGTAGATACTTTATCCTTAAAGTGCAATTGTGCGTTAGTTTAAACTATAGTTGATTAAAACTTAAGCTACAGTGCTCAAAGTTTAAAGCAAATAATCTAACTATAATTTTTATTTTTAGTCTTTAGTATTCTTCTTTAAATACAGATTGATTAGTGAAAAAATCAAATCGATACGACTAATAGTTCCCGAGAAAAATGTAATTAAAAATTAGCGTTAGTGGTTTGTGACGTCACCCTAAACGCTATAAAGGCTAAAACTATTATTTTCTACAACTATGCTAACTTTTATTTGCAGTCCATTCTATTGTCTACTAAATCTACAACAATCGTGTGAAAAAATTATTTAAATACGACCAATAGTTCCTGAGATATTGCATTTTTAAAAATAATGTGTGCTGTGAGATCGAGTCGAATCACAAAGTCAAATAAAACGATTCGAATCACAAAGTCATTTGATTCGAATCGACAAGTCATTTGATTCGAATCGATTTGTCGAATCATACAACTTAAAAGTGCTGTAGAATCTAAACTACTTGGTGGATTTGAAACAAAAAAAACTAATGTATTTATAAATGTACAAACTTCATTTTGACTGAAGTAGAAATTTGAAAAAATTGCGGAAATGCTGCTAAATCGGTGAAAATGTAATAAATAACAATACCAAAAACTTGTCAAACAGTCTAATAAAGTCTCTTCATAAAATCTAATTATAATTACTGAGTCAACTCGAAAAATTTAGTATTAGTACAAGTGTTTGATTAAAAATTCGTATGGATTTTGTCAAGTGGAGTGCGTAAAGGCTGCCAATAAATATTGTAAAACATTGCATTTGATTTAATTCGAATCTAATATAAAATCTAAACTACTCGGTGGATTTGAATGAAACAAAAACTAATTTATTTATATATGTACAAACTTTAATTTAACGCTTAAAATTAAATTTGGAAAATAAAAATATTGCTGCTAAATCGGTGTAAATAATAAATCTAAACCGAAAATTTGTTAAGCAGTATTCACAAAGTTTGCTAAATCATTTGAAAACTAGAAATAACCTAATTTAGTGTTTGTTAAGGTTTAGTGTTAGTTATAGTAATAGTTTTTTAAAATAAAAATTCTTACGTCAAGTGGAGTGTGTAAAGGCTGCCATTGGCGAAATATGTTTATACGACCAACAAATAACTTAATATTAGTGTTTGTATATATTTTAAATAAAAATTCTCACGTCTTTTTAGTCAAGTGGAGTATGCAAAGGCTGCAAAAAATTTCATATACTATTTTTAATTTTAAAATTTAATCCAATCACGAACTCAAACAAAACGATTCATATCACAAAGTCATTTGATTCGAATCATACAAGTTAAAAAGTGCTGTAGAATCTAAACTACTTGGTGGATTTGAATGAAACAAAAACTAATGTATTTATAAATGTACAGACTTCAATATGACCAAAGTAGAAATTTTGAAAAAATGTCCGCCATTTACAAATCAATGTTGCTAAACCGGAAAAAAAATTAATAATGATCGATACCGAAAATTTTTCAAAGAACGTCTATTCAAATAAAGTCAAAGAAAGGTCAACTCAAAGAAATGTAGTATTAGTATAAGTGTTTAATTAAAAATTCGTATAGATTTTGTGAAGTGGAGTGCGTAAAGGCTGCCCATGAAAATGTCTGTCTAAACATCGTATTTGGTTTGCTTCGAATCATACAACTGAAAAGTGCTGTAGAATCTAAACTACTTGGTGGATTTGAATGAAACAAAAACTAATGTATTTATTATATATGTACAAGATTTATTTTGACCAAAGTAGTAGTTCTGGCAAAATAGCGGAAATGCTGCTAAACCGGAAAAAAAATGTAATAAATATCAATACTAAATAATTTGTCAAACAGCCTTCACAAAGTTTGTCTGCTAATT